GGTACTATGTGATCAAGAACCAATTGTGTTTAAGGAAATCGTCTAAGTTGCACTGAAGGCTATACTGAAAAACAAGACTTTGTGAACTGACAGACTTTTCCATGAAAATCTTCAAAAAGCTGGTGCAGTGCTGGAAGCAACCGCTAGTTCATGCCAAGAAATTTGGAAGAAGCTACTTGGTCAAATGACTGGAAGGGCCCTATACTTGTGTCCATCCCCCCCCCAAAAGGGATCCAACAAAATGTGGATTTTTCTAAAAATATCTGCAACATTACATGCAAGTAAAGTTTTGCTGTGGATAATTTAAAAAACAGATTCAGTAGCACATTGAGAGCAGGCAGAATTTCAAGCTGGATTCAGAAGAAGACACAGAATGAGAGATCTCATTGGTGATGTCAGATGGATCTGGGCTGAAGTCAGAGAAAAACAGGAAAACATTTACTTGTGTTATAATGACTATGCAAAGGTAATCCGCTATGTCAATGATAACAAACTATTGATACTATTTCAAGAACAGAAAATGTATTTATGCTGTACAAGAGAGTCGTAGAAGGATATCATAAAAACTGACAGCCAAGTGGTGGTACTTGATAAAGCTTCATTAAAAAGGAGGAAGACACTATAAAAGAGGGGATGACACATGGACTCACACAAAGCAACAACTGTGAGCATTGTGCAGTACTCAACAGTGAGTCCTATGTTTTACATGGGGTCATGTGGAGTTGGCGCTGTCTTAACAATATCTATTAAAAAACAAGTCATAATGAATTAGAATATTTGGGTTTTTTACTTTGGGCACTAAATCCTAAGCACTCGTTTTATTTCTCTCTCAGCCTGGGTTTGAGGATAAAGCTGAATGGTACCACAATACCTAGAAGTGGTTCATGCAGTGACAGTGCCAACAAGCTGATGCCTTACAGAAGGACTTGGGAGGCTTTGCTTTCGCTGATGTAAACTTTAACTGAGGAACTGAGTTCTTCACTCAACATTTTTCAAAATACTCCCTTTTCAGAAGCACTCTTGAATCCTAGTCATCAAACAGGAATAAAGGGCATTTACATTTTATAGAGTGTCTAATAGACTAATATTCCTCAGGGGTAAGTCTTACTCTGTGTTCTGAGTTCCATTTTCAGAAGGTTCAACCAGTCCTTAGTTTACAAGGTGTTATTCAAATGTTACATACCAGGGTAGGCACTTATTACCTTGGAGAAATGTAACACTGAATCATTCCTACAAGTTTTCCAAAAGGGGACACCAGAGAGTATTTTAAATGTAATGTTTAAATGATAAAATATGGTGTGTTTCTAGAGCCAACATTTCCAACTTCATATAATGTACCACAAGCTGGAATATCTTATTTTCCTTTATAGTAAGTTTCATTGAACTGCTCATGGTCATTTCAATTCCTTGCCCATAAACTTGACTTCCAAGAGTGTGTAGAGCAGCATGTGGCAGAGAATGTGCCTCTTGATTCAAGTCTGAATCACACCTGGACAATGCTCGGCATGTGTCAGACCCTATGAATTAACACCCCTTTGGGTTGATGCCCCAATTCATATGTGAAGTATTTATATAAAGACATGTTAAGGGTATTTCTGTGTTATCTGCAAGAGTAGCAGTGCCACATCTCTCTCTTGAATTGCATTCACTCAGGTGTTGTTGTTAGGTGTTTTGAGACAGTTCCAGCCCAGAGAGACCCAATGGTTAGTAGCACCAAGCACTGCCCCTCCTATACCATCCTCACAGCCAAGGATATGTTGAGTACCCACTGTGTGAAGTCATCTTATTTAGGAGCATCTCTTTTAGAATCATTTTATTTTATTGCTGAGCCTCTGCAGCAACAGTTCTCAACCTGTGGGTCGTGACCTCTTTGGGGGTCAAACGACCCTTTCACATGGGTCACCCAATTCATAACAGTAGCAAAATTACAGTAATGAAGTAGTAATGAAAATAATTTTATGGTTGGGGTTCGTGACAACATGAGGACCTGTATTACAGGGTCCCAGCATTAGGAGGGTTGAGAACCACTGCTCTACAGCATCGGGCATGATGTTCTTTTTCAGGAATTGGTACTTCTTGAAGAAAGGCCCAATGTTCATGAGATGAAATTTTCCCATCTCACTTCTAAGTGATATCAGACGGTGCTTCATTCAGATGTCTACTGAAAGATTATGGTATACCTGATATCCTTTACCAACACCTTAATTTGGTAGTATTGCTTTTTCACTGATCTTCTTCAGTCATCGTCTAGCCTTGGTACACATATGAGTTGATTGGAAATACCTTGGCTGTGGTAGTCCTCAAAGTAATATTTTATTCCGTAAGACTTGACAGGCATATTTGGCAGAACTGTCTGATGTAATATGCAGTTTAATTTATTGCATGGTGTTTCCATGGCTGTTGATGGTGGAGCCAAGTAAAATGAAATTATTGACAGCTTCCATCCTTTCTCAATTTGTCTTGATTTTGCTGGTGAGTTCAGTTGTGAGAATGGTTGTTTGATTTATACTGAGATGCAGTCCCCATTGAAGGCTGGGATCTTTTATTTTCAATGTTCCATGTTTCCAGTCCTCTTGGTTTTTAGCAAGCAAGGTTGTGTCATCTCTGTATCCCAGAATGTCAATGAGTCTTTCTGCAATCAGGATGCCACCACCTTCTTATAGCTGAGCTTCTCAGATTATTTGCTCAGTATGCAGATTGAATAAATATGGTGAAAGGATACAAATTTTCCTGATTTTAAGCCTTGCAGTACCCGTTTGTTCGGTTCAAACGACTGCCTCTTTAAAGCTTACTAATAAACATAATGGAATTTCTCAAATGCTTCCAGGGTCACTGAGTCAATGGCAATTAACAATAACTAACATAATTTTATCCTTTGCAATGCTATTCAGAATGTGTGCTCTATAGAGCACATGCATTTTTGGTCAATATAACACAAGCATATACTTCTCTTATATGCTCTGCTTTCAACCAAAGTCCATTTGGTATCAGAAATAAAACATTCTCCTCTGAATCCTACGGAAATTTATGGAAGCCACTAATTTTGAACTATGTTTGATCAAATTTACTTTAGTTTGGTATTAA